AAATCGGCCCTACAGCCCTGCGCGTTTCCTGGCAAAGGAGCCCACAACCGGCAGAGACACACAACGTGGAGAAATGTTCCCTCGCAAAGCGGATCCATCCTTGTCAAATCACAGGGGCGCAGGGAAAACAGAGGACTCAACATGTGACTCTCCCATAAGAAAACCAAAAAAGACACGTCAGGACAGAGAGAAACCCAAACTGCCAGGACAAGCAGCTGCAAACAAACATCTGGAGCAGATGTTCTCTGACTCATTACAGGGTGGGGCAGGAAAGGGGCTCACAACCCCAACCAAAATTGGAGTCCTCTCTGCAGGGAAACCAAACTATCTGGCAGCCGGAGATGGGGAGGGAGCAGGATGGATCTGGTCTGAAGATGTTAGGAACAGCTCAGGAAAAAACACGATCAGAGGCTACCCACAGCCTTCCTGACACCAGATGAGCTCAGTGAACCAGAGCTGGCCTCCTCGGAGAGCTTTTGGCAAATCCCGACCTGTCCTTTCTGCTGAGAGCAAGGAACGGGAGCTCGCCGAGGCCCAGCCAGACGGAGTGGGAAGCAGTAACCCCACGTGAAGCCACCTGCCCCTACGAGCAGGGTAGGGGCCAACAGCCCTAAACTTCTCTAGCCCATGCAGCTGCAAGGCCTGGATGCGGCTTTGCATTTTGCCCTCAACACAGTCAAACCAAAGCCCTGCGCTGGTCTGAGAGCCCTCAGTGCCCATCTGGGGCTCTCCTCCTCTCCAATTCCTTTCTACGCGTCCCACGTTTCATAAAACGTATCTCGCAGGTTTGCCATTTCTTGGAGATGAGACATTCCAGAGACCTGGACGGACTCCTCAGCCCTGCACCCAGACTATGGCACCATTCCCTGGTAGAAATGGGACTTCCGCACTGACCCAGAAAAATCCCATTAGGTAGAAGGCTACTGGCAGGCGGTCCTGGCCTCCTACCAATTACTGAAGGTAAATATGCTGCAATAGTAGTGCAGGGCTCCGCCTCGCCGTGCTAGTGCCAAGCAAAACTGGCTCTGGGGAGCTGATACGTGGACAGCCATCTTCTCATCCTACGGCTCCAGCACCTGGGGGAGGTCACCCCGTGCTTGCATGACTTCGGAGGCCGTGAAAATGATGAAGCTTCACATGTTGAGTCATTCCGCCATCAGGAGAGGAAGCAATGAATTGCAAAGATACAGAGGTGGTAACTAAATTTACAAGTAGGATCCATTTAAAAAGGAGGAGGAAAAAAAAAAAAAATCAAAGTAGAGCAAGTTGGAAAATTCTGTTCATTAGTTTTCTTTAAAAAGTTTCAATGAACTATTTCACATTCTTTCTCATTCAAGTGAGACTCTTCCTCAAATCCTCAGTGAAAAAGGGACCTTTTTTCCCTAACAAAGTTTTACATTTTTTAGGAAGAGGAGTTTAATCAGCACCAACACAAAGGTGAACGGAGCATTCAAAAGGAAGGGTGCCTCTTGGTGGAAGTCTCTCCCCAAAATGTCGCTTGGAAGTAGGGAGCCGAGCAATTATTGGCATACGGATAAATATGTTTGCAATATATTTTATAACTGCTGCCACAGAGACATGGACTGATCTTATGGGGGTACACACACCTACAGGTCATCCTCCGAGAAGGTCATTGCCTTAAAACCCAAACGATTTCAGAGTCCAGGGCTGGCCTCAGAGGATGTGCAAACTGCACAGGCACGGCCCTCTCCCTTCTTAATGCCAGGAGATCCTCACTGTAACCCAGAGCATCATCCTGAATTCCCCACAGCTTATGGAAGTGGGCTCTCCATCTTTGGCCAGGGGAAGCATCTTTCAACATCCCCCCTCAGGCTCTAGGTGAAATCGGGGTGAGGATTTCGGTCATGTCCGTAACGTGACCCAGGCACAAACTTCACACCAAGGATGGGATTCATCTCCCCTTCCACAGGGAACCGCGAGTTCAGTCTTGGGGTCCCATTTGGGTCAAGGGAGACAGGCACCGCCAGAACATAATTTAATGAATAACGTTTTCAAGCGGGATGAATCACTCTCTGGAACCGCTTTTCTCTGCAACAGAGGGAGCTTGGATCAGCCACGGTTTTTAGATAGCAAATGTACGGAAAGAGGAATCCCATCGAGAGAGTCTACCTCCTGTCTCACCCCACAGCCAGCACTAAATCTTACCCTCTCTCTGCAAAGCAGACCCCCCCCCAGGACAATCTGTAAACCTCCCTTTCCCCCTCTCCCGACTACCTAGGAACTAAAGGTCTGGGATTAGCAATAAACAGACTGGGAAGTCATCTTCCAGCATGTGCAAGTGTACCAGGAAGCCAAACCTTGCATCTGGCACCATTCACAGCAGTATCATGAATATTATTAGTAATAGACCTAGCCGTCCTAACGTTATATTTATATATACAAAAATAGATCCACAGAACTCTACGTAAAGAGGTGGCTGAGGGAAGGCGACGGATGCGCCCCGGATGGCAGGGTCTTAGAGGAAGCCAAGGTACATGTCGCATAGATTTCTCCAGGGGAACCATTCGCTTCCCTCTGCACTCACACACCTCGGAGGAGGGACAGGCAGGCAGAGCCGAGCACTGGGACGTCATCCCAGCTCCAAACTCCCCCGACCGATCGGCCGACGTCAGCGGGGTCACAACTGAGAGCTGGCGCCACGCGTTTGCAAGCGGAGATGGGGCTGAGTCCATGACCAGGAGGAGCTCCCCCCAACTGCAGCGACGGGTTGGGCTTATTATCATCACAGCAAGTAAATCATGAAGCACTGACCCCGATTCAGGTTTCCTTCTAGTCTGCAGGTGGCCCAGCCCCAGGGCTTGGTTCAGACCCATCTCCAGTTTGCCGCAGGCAGCCGCCGTTGCAGAATACCCTCAGCAAGTGCCAGCAGGGTTTGCCTGCCGGCGTGACGCTGGTGTTGGTGTGACACGCCGGTGGGCCAAGGAAAGCAAGGTGAGGACTCAAAGGCAACTTCTGCAGGGAGGGAAGGTCGGGCTCCCGTCTTTCGACACCCCCTTCTGCTCTCTGTTTCCCTCCAGCCCAAAGCAGGAGCTGCAGAAGTCCCCGCTGGGGAGTCCCCCAGCATTGGTGCTAATCGACAGGGAGAGCAGTGCGAGTGGCAGCTGTTGACAGCTGGGTTTGGGGTATTTTTTTTTAAAGTTAATTCAGTGCTGGTGGAAGGTACCAGAGAGGGGCTCTCAGGGCTCGAGCACGGAGCCGGTGCCTGTGGCATCTGCTTGGTGGTGGGCTGGAGCTGGGCGGCAGCTCCCATCCCGCCAGGGTTTGCGCTCTGGAGGCAGCCCTTCAAGGCATTGAGAAATGAATGGCAATTTCAAACCAGCTTCTTGTTCTCAGCCAAATCCCAGAGGGGACCTTTCCCTTGCTGCAGTCGGGCAGAAGCGAGTGGGCTGGGCTGCCTCCGATAGCTCCTTCCCCTGCCAGAAGGTTTCTAAAGCTTCCCACACCTTCCCTTCCTCTTTGAGACAGAAAAATACGATGCCACCTCATTTTGAAGCTCGCTTGCTTCTCCCAGCGGCTTCCAAGCCCAGAGGGAAGCCACTGCCACCAGTGGGACCCCACGGCACCCCAGCCCCTTGGGGAAAGCAGACCTACGGCCACATGAGAGGAGAGAGGCCACCCACGAAAAGTGCTGGAGAGAGATAAAGAGAGAGAGAAGGAGGTCTGGCTCCCAGAGGCCTCTTGCACAGGGGATGCGTCGCCCTGCCTCTTCCCCCCATCAGGAAGGACCACACCATGGGGCAATGGCAGCTCCTAAAACCCTCTGAGACCAGAGTCCCAAGGCCCCCCTGGGTCACCCTTCCCCGCAGGGGCATGGCCGGGGAGGGCACCCGCAGCTCTCTCTGCCTCTCCTGGTCCCTCGCCCGCGTGTGCAAAACCACCGTTTCCCACCAGCTTGGTGCCAGCTTCCCTGGCCACCCAGCCGCCTTCGTGCTCCCAGAGGCTGGGGGACACCCAGTTCACCCGTCTCATTCCCGGGAGGTGATGGTGGGTAGCGGGGAGTGCTGCAGAGCGGAGGGAGCCGAAGGAGGAGGGGGATGGAGGGGAGAGGAGGAGGAGGAGGAGGCGGAGGAGGAGGAAGAGCAGTAAAGCCTGCTTCTCCTCCCCGGGAGGGTCATACCGGCTTATCCAGCGTCTTGGGGAAAGGCGTGCCGCTGGAGGAGGAGATCTTTCTGCAAACTGTATTGGTGTGGCTCTGGCAGCGGCAGCCGGGTCGTTTCAGGCCATCATAACCCCGCTGGCAAAGTTTGAGGCACCCCAGGGTAGGAAAGTAGCAGCAGAGGCAGGGCATGAGGAGGGAGAGGAAGCTCATGGCAGCCCAGCGGGCACAGCAGGACCCCGGCCCGCAGGAGCAGGGGTCGTCGGCGCAGGTGTCCTCGTCGTCGGTGGAGCAGTGGTAGAAGAGACCCTTGACGCAGCAGAGGCAAGTCCCGTAGTCGAGGAGGCTCTCGGGGGAGCAGAGGCAGCGCTGGTTGCAGAGCCAGCAGGAGGGCAGGCTGCGGGCGGCCGTGCAGCGGGCGCACTTGCATCGCCCGCACTCCTCGCAGATGAAGAGGTGGCCGGTGTGGAGGGTGGGCTTCTCCGCCACCCCCTTCAGCGGCGATTCCTCCAGTTTCAACTCGCCGGCCCGGGGCTGCGTCCGGATGAGGGAGTGCCCGGAGTGGGAGGGCGTGAGGCTGCTCAGGAGGCGCTGGTCGGAGGCGGTGGTGCTTTGGGAGACGGAGCTGGCCGTGCTGGAATGGCTCATGTGTTGCTGCAAAGGTGGCATCTGGTGCTGTTGGCTGTGGCTGCGGGGCAGGTCCTGGAAGGTGGAAGACACCAGGCGGTCCTGGGACCACTCTTGCTTGTGTGGTGGCTGGGACAGGGATGGGTTGGAGCGGGCTTGCTGGAAGCAGACAGCCGGTCTCTCCACGTAGTTGTTGCTGGCACGGATGGAGCGGATTTGGTCAATGGACAGGACCTGCTGGAAGTCCTCAGCGGGTGGGTCCATCGTCTCGTCACAACTGAGTTCAGCCACACTGGAAGAGAGCTGCATTTCCAGGAGCGAGGAGACCCTGCGGCATCAGGGCACATCTAAAAATCCTAAAGGATGGGGCAGGAAGACAGAGAAAACATTTGTGTTACCTTTTGTAAAGGATCCATCCATACAAACCAGGAAGCAAAGACCTGCTGGAGAACTCCTAATGAAGTTATTTCCAACAACCGGACTCAAAGTGCTTCTGTGCCTGGGGAGGCTTAAGCTGGACATGTCCAAAAGGCAAGGGCCATAAAGATCTGTCCCTTGAAACAGGGGGGCACAGCATCTCCCTGCGCTTTTGAGCTTTTCGTGTCCTTCCAGAGCATTTCCCACCCCTTGCCAGGACCGACAGACCCCGTCTGTCCTCCCTCTCCTTCCCCGGGGAAAAGCGCTGGCCCTCTCTAGAGGAGGGGAAACTCAAAGCCGTGACTTATCCAGAGCCAGTGACAGAACTGGGAACGGCATCTCCTCCGGAGCAGGAGACTCTGTTTTGGGGCTTCCCAGCACACCCCGAACAGCCTCCCGGTGCCATACCCTGTACACGGCGGGGGCACGGGGATGGAAGGGATCTGAACACATTTAATTCCTGGCAGCATCAGCAACAAATTGCAACTAACGAGACACACACTTGGCCAGGGACAGGCCAAGCCCACAGACTCCCCGAGTCCTGGCGGTTCCCACTGCAGCATCCTGTTTTCCCATGCGCAACCCAGCGACAGCCCGGGAACCAATTTATCCCCGTCACAAACACCGAGAAGGGCAGGTTTCTCTTTAACCCCCGCACAAACACAGGGTGAAGCAGGGAAAGCAGTCTTCGCGGCAGGCAAGCCCCGTCTTGCTCCTTGCACCGAGGCTGCCATGCTGTTTGCTGTTGTTTTCAGGAAACGGCACTTCCCGAGTCCGCAGCGCCGGCAGCGGCGCCTGCGTTACCCAGGGGGAAGGTCAGGGCCATCCGAGGGCTGTGGGCTGGGGCAGGGAGGACCCCCGTGTCCCACAGCTCCCCTCCCAGCAGCTTTGACCTCATGGCATCAGCACCACCGCCAAAACCTCGGGCTGCCAGACCTTGCGCTGGCGTCTGGGTGAAACCTCCATGGGGCTGGGCGAGGAGAGGGGGCAGGCAGGAGCGAGTCTGCAACGGAGCCAGGTCTTGGCCCTTAGGAGGGAGGGAGAGAGAAACTTCCCACTTCTGCTGCCCGCAAAACGGAGCTCCCCGGGAGCGCACAGAGGACCCAAGCCATTCGTTGCATGCCAGACCCCAGCGAAGAGCTTTCCCCCAGCACTTCCAGCCCAGATTTCAATATTGGATACGTGCTTTCCGTGCACGGCCAACTTCCCCGGGACAAAGCCATTCTCCTCTGGCAGATCAAGTGAGCGATCCCTCAGTGACACAGATATTGTCACGGTGCCCGGGCCCGCAGGAAGACTCTGTTTCAATAGGAAGCTCCCCACCGGCCTTGCACATGGTCAGCAGGCCAGGCGGCCAGCGGCGGCGGAGGCTTTCAAGTAGGTGAGGGGCCACAGGTAGAATCTGCTCATGCAGCAGAGAGAGGCAGAGGGAAGATTGATTTTCATTAGCTAGGCTGACCTTGAAGAGCAGGGAAAAGCAAAGGCAACTTACTTTGACTGTTCAAGCAAGATCTGGTCTCTCCCATCCCCCTCCCCGGAAAGAAAAGGCAACTGATCTGCTTAGATTGGGGTTTTTCCTGCGCATGGAGCCCACCTGCCGCCCCCTCCATGCGATTTCAAGCGAGATGCTCACCCCGTCCAGGGAGCCGCAGACGGTGCATGAGTCGCTCTCCCAGGACACCCACAATTGATTTGGACACCGATTTGTTTAACAGAAATATCAAGGTGAATTAGGAGGGCACGGCTGACCCAGGGAAGGTTTTGTGAGCACGCTGCCAGGGTGAGAACGGGCCACAGAGGCAAAACACCCTCTTGTGAGCCGTTACCTGCTGCCCCTGAGCTCCTCACCTGGGAAGGTCTTACTAAAGCACAGGCTGGTGACCTGAAGCCCCCTGGACCCCTGAAGAGATATGACACATCTCAGCCTGCAGCTAGGACAATGCAGAGAGGAGCAGAGAGCAGCCTCAGTGGGTTCCCACGTCCCTCGTGACCCAGATCCCATCTTGGGGTGGGATCGCTCAGGGGACGATGCTGAATTACACCCAGGGAGGAGCTGCTCACATCTGGGTGTCCATCCCCTCTAACCTGTGCGCTGGGATTTGGCAGTACTTGGGCATTAGGACTCAGCCAGAAAGACTCTCGTGAGGTTCCCGTGTGGGGCTTGAACCAAGGTGTGACCCGAAGGGAGAGACCGAGGCAGCGGAGGGTCCCACTGCGGTGGACGCAGTGGAACTGGGAGATAAAGAGCAGCCGAAGGGCAGACCCAGTACAGCTACACCCAATCCCCTGTGCAAGACCTGGAGCTCGGGAGACATGAGGAGACCTGTGAGCCACGCTTAGGCAGGAGGAGATGCGCAGGGGACGCTGCGAGGAGGAACAGAGCCCCGGGGACAGCAGGCAGAGAGAGGAGCTGGCAATCGGGCCATGCAGTGCGTTGCAACCCGGACGCTTAGGATCTGGGTCCAGGGCTTGGACACAGCATCCCGGGCAAGACAGGTCCTGGGAGGACCCCCAGCACTGAATCGGGGCCCAAACGCTCCTGGACCTACGATCCCCAGGCGTAGGGGTTAGACGTGGACCCAGATTTGCTGGCCGGGCGGAGGCAAAGGTCCCTCTGGGACCCAAGGGGACATGAGCCAGAGGATCTGTGGGTCCTCCTGTCCAGCGGGATGGGGGGAAGAGGGACTGAATGACCAGAGCCGGGACCCTGCTCCTGCCACCCCCCCACCCCCCCGGGGGAGCCCAGGGCCCCCCCCTCGCTCCCAGCCCTCCCTGCTC